AGTTACTTTAAAAGCAACAAAATTGGTAGAAAGAGATGAGGGTATTATCGTACTAGCACTTTTCTCATCCATTAACTTCTCCAATTTGAATCAATCAGCCGATCAAATTTCATGGATAATTGTACCAACCTTCATACCTCTCCACTGTTTTCTTTGTCTACCAGTAGGGTCTAATTTGGGATAATCTGTTGGATTTAGGGACAGTATTATTAAAATGAAAGATCTGTCATCAGGGCCTTGTCTAGGATTAAGACTGACTTCTATAATCATAGTGTTTAGGGCCTATATTAAGCAATTCTGAAACAAATCTCATTTGTCCTAATTTGAGATGACAATCTATTGGGGAAACTTAAGCATGTATTAATAAAAAGTTTTTCCTTTTTGGTCAAACAGTTGCACAAAAAGTGTTTGGAAATGACTGGATGCAATTTAGTTAAGCAGGGCATTCAGAAATCCAGGGGAATATTTTTTCCTAGATGTAATGGTGTATAAGAATAACCCTGAAAAAATAGGAGTAAGAGTTGCAACCAAGGCAACAATCATATAAAAACAAATGCTGGTCTAAAGCAGAAAAGTAATTTAGAGAAAATGTCTCAAAATGAACCATCCCTAGTTTCTTAAAGATAAAGGCAGGAGAGAGTAAATGAGTTAGTCTTAGAAGATTCTGTTATTATAGATCTATAATAATGAGTTGCTTCAAAATGAAATGGGTGACAAATAAAATTGATAAATATAATAAAATAATAAAATAAAAGTAGTATTAACAGTCATAATTTTAGTTTTCTAGTCTGGTCTATGCTGAAGGGCTGACTTCGAAGGGGATAGCAATTGAAAAGACTTGTCTCTCTGATCCTTGAAAATGGTAGTTTATGAGTAAGTAGATAATCGATGAGCAAAGAAACTAAGATGGTGAGCAAGACCACCCTGATTATATTATGTGGACAGGACTATTGCGATAATCCAAATCCTAAACCATAAAGAGTTGCCTAGTAACATCAAAAGGGAAAGCTACTGAATAAAAATAGGAGGAGGAAGGTTTGTTGGATATGTTCACCGCCTTGTGTTATTTGTAAAAATAGACAAACAAATAAATAAAAATACTGTATATAAATATCAAACAATCCTCTTCTAGCACTGAAGATGTTACTTAATTAGCTAATAAAATTTCTGCAAGAAAACAACCAAGCCTAGAGAAAACCAAGGATTCTAACTATCACCTTGAATGGCACTCAAAGTCAGATGACGATCAATGTAACTCTCAAAATGGCGGTGTTATGTAAACAAAGGGTCAATAATAAAATAACAGAGTTGGGAGGGATGTTGGAGGTCTTCTAGTCCAACTACATGCTCAAGCAGGAGACCCTGTACTATTTCAGATAAATGGTTGTCCAGTTTCTTCTTAAAAATCTCCAGTGTTGGATCACACAACTTCTGTAAGCAAGTCGTTCCACTGATTAATTGTTCTGTCAGGAAATTTCTCCTCTGTTCAAGATTGCTTCCCTCCTTGGTTAGTTTCCATCAATTGCTTCTTGTCCTACCATTTGGTGCTTTGGAGAATAGGTTGAACCCCTCCTCTTTGTGGCAACCGCTTAGGATATTGGAACATTGCTGTCATCCTACTCCTTCTTTTCATTGAACTAGACATACCCAATTCCTGCAAACGTTCTTCATATGAAAGTGACCTTAACTACGGAAGACAGTATATTTTTTTAGATAATATTGTTAATAATTTTAATTACAATAGTAAAATCTAAAACTAAAATAATAAAAAAGAGTGAGACAGGTACAAAAGGAAAAATCAGAAAATGGAAAGAATATAATAATAAGAAGAAAAAAGGTGACCTTCAACCTTCAGCACAATTGTAAATAATTTCAGTAATTCCTCATTCCTTCTTGGTTTACAATGGATGACCCATATTCCATCTATTATCTATAGACAAATCCACAAAGCATGATCTTTTCAGTATTGGCAACAGCAGAAAGTTAATTAAGGTTTTTCAGAAATAGCAATGTATTTTATTTTAACTTTGATCAAATAAACCAACTGTGTTTTCTTTTTACTTTAAACAGTCTTAATCTTTAATCCAATCATATATAATATGTTTTTTTTTCATTCATTCTTTGCCTCTTTTTCTCAAAGCTTTAACAGTTCTTTTTTGTAAAAACAACACAAAAATTATTTAGGTCACTCTCTTTGTTCATTATTTGTATTTTCCTTTTGATTTTTGAAACATCAACCAGATTCTTTTGTTATGTCCAGTGAGACATCCTTTTCCATGTCATGTTCATAGCCTGTCATTTATAGATCCATTTTCAATGCCATCTCTATCATGTCAAATAGAACTTGTTTCTCATCTGCTATTTTTGCCATAACATCTTTAGGACATAGTCTATAGAAACAAACACTGCTATTATTAACACTGTTTTTCTGATTCCATTTTTCAAAAGTGTCCTTCAGTACCTTCACTGTTACGTTTTGCATCATTTAATACATCCTGTCAATCAAACCTGTATATTTTTCTCCCCTAATTAAAGTATTATTTCTCTCTAGTGTCCCAATTTTTAAAGTTACTTAAAATTAATCAGTTTATAACTTTCAAGGATCAATGTTTTATTTAGCTTTTGCTGTTAATTTCAATTTTTTTAAATACTTAAGCTTATGATTAAAATTTTCTTTCATTAAGAATTGAAGGCAAACTCATCTGGATTTTCACATTTGTTGATATGAAGGTCTCCAATAGCATAAAAGTAGTTAACGAGCAATTTCCAAATATAATTTCTAAATTCTAGGAGAGCCTTCCAACGTAGTGCTCTTTCAAAGACACTGACCGTGGCTATTCCCATCATCTCCCAGTGCTCAAAATCCGCCAGGGACTGCTGTCTTTCATGCGGGTAATCTATCCTCTTCTTGTCTGAGGAGAATCAGTCCATTCTTTGTTCTTCACTATGGTTATCAGCCCCACTTTTTGCAGAGCCATCTTTAATTTGCACTTCTTCCTGTGGAAGCCCTGATGGCACTGTATTATTGACCAACCATAGCTTCCATTCTTTTACAAGCCGGCCCAATGTAGAGTGCAATGTAATAATAGTATAATCAGTAAAACAGTAAATAAGACATGACTATGATTAGAGCCTATCAGTGGAGTTCAATAAGTGTAATTGTACAAAGCTTTGTTGGACGTAACTGTAACCTACTCAATCAACAGAAGCTAAAAAACCAGAAAAATCCCATTTACAAGTCAGTTCCATAAGAAAGAGTGTGATTTCACCCAGTAGTAAAGATGATAATTCTCTGGAATTGGATAGCTTCCAAACCAAGCATAACCCTGTTTCTCTGTATTCAGATTCTGTCAGCCACTAGATACCAATACAACACTTCATTGGTATTATATGCTTGGCCCAAAGTCAAGATGGAAAAATAAGTATCATCAATATATTGATGATATCAGAATCTGTGTTGTAAGATGGCCTCACCCAGGGCTTCATGAAAAAAATTGAGAGCTTCTTGTAGAAAAGAGCACTGGCCACTACGGTACCCCACAATTAAGGAGTAATGAAATGGACTTGTCCCTTCTTATCACCAATTGGAACCAACAGTCTAAGAAGCAAAACTACTGCAACTCACAGCTTCCCACTCCCAACCATTGGTGAAAGCCCGGAAGGATATAATAATATGGTAAGCCACTAAGAGATAATGCAACACAAGGAGGATTATACTCACACCAGAGTATCCACACATGCAATTAGTCACTTCTGTACAATTCTGTGCCATTTCCATCCTAAGCCTTTGCAGATTTGTTAAGAGTACTTACAGTCAGGGGTGGGATTCAAATTTCTTACAACCGGTTTTGTGGGTGTCGCCTAATTTGTGGGTGTGGCTTGGTCATGTGACTGGCTGGGCATGTCTTGTATGTAAATATTATATTTATGTAAATATTGAATAATTTATAAAAAAAGAACAACTTTTACCCAAAAGCAGGCAAAGCAGGCAGGCAGATTGAGTTGCTCACAGAATTACAGATTCATTCAGAGATCTATCTTTCTACAATCGGCTGAGCCTGTCACATAAAATTTGCTTGCAAGCAAACTCACAAAATTAATTTACAACACACTATGTATGTACATATTGAAATTTTTTATTAAAAAAGAGCAACTTTTACCCAAAATCAGGCAGAGCAGGCAGGCAAATTGAGTTGCTCACAGAATCACAGATTCACTGTGTTTCTGCCATCTGCTACCTGAGTCTGCACTGAATAATAGAAGCTTCAGGCTCAGCTCTGCTTTTAGATTAGCTAGAAAGCAAGAAATTCCTGTTTTCTAGCTAATCTAAATCTCTCAGCACAGCAGAGCAGCTGATGATCGGGGGGAAAAAAGGAAAAATAGCAACTTAGCAGGCAAGTTTGATGGCGTGCGTGCCAGGTAAGGAGTGGGCGGGGCCAGTCAGTGGCGCAATTTGCTAGTTCTCCAGCAGGTAGAATCCCACCCCTGGTGAGAGTGTGTTTTGCGCGCATTTAGACCATTTCTTAAAAACCTCAGCTGTGCTGCCTGGACAGCTAATAAGCGCTGTGCTCAGGTGCACGGCATTTGAAAATCCTCTTCTTTCCTGCTTTTTCAACCTCGCAGCAGCACAAAGCAGCTGAGGTTGAAAAAGCAGGAAATAAAGGACAGCCAAGAGCCTGCACGGGCAGTTTGGCCAAACAAAGCAGCAGACACCAAAACGGTTCGGTGTCTGCTGCTCTTCAGAGCTACCGGTTCTATAGAACCAGGCCAAACCGGTAGCATCCCACCCCTGCTTACAGTTATGTAAACTTAACCAAAAACATTAAATTATAAGTTCCAAGTGCTATCATATGCCTAAAAGTAAGCACAATAAGCAAAGTAGATTTTGATCCCTTAATAGCAGTAAATCAATACACACAGTGTTCTGTTTTTATCCCAGAAAATCTAGATAGAACTTTAGAAGGCTAATTATATGTGTCTTAACAACCATATATACTCACCAGTAAGTACAGCTTTTGCAGAAGGATCTGCAAGATCTAAAGCTGATTTTCCATCTGTATTCCGAATATTTGGATCAGCTCCATGTTGCAGCAGTACTAAATAAAGAAATAATAATTCTCAAACATTTGGCATATAGAATAAATGCAACTGCCAATAAACACATATACTGATCATGCTGCCAATTTTTTCAATGAAGATCATAATCCAGAAAGCTGCTTTTGTTTAATAGAGTATTCAACTACTGATTGGTTTTTCCTCAAGGGTGAACATCCCTTCTTATATCATGTAACAATTTAGACCCATAAATCTACTATTAGGCTGCAAATTTTCTCTAAACCAATTATGAACAAACAAAAATGACATGAACGTACAGAGCACATTCTCTATCCCCTTTAACTGACATTTGTTGTAAAAGTTTCAAAAAGTATTTTTCCGTGAACACATCCATTGTCTAGAAAATATTTACATATAATTTGCTACAAAGTTTTTTGAATAAGCAGATTGTCTGTTACATTGATTCTTCTAAAATATACCAAGCATCATGAACGTGCAGTCATCTCTGCTAACACAAAATTGTCGATTATCCTTAAATAATATTGAAAATTGCTATATTTTCTTTCAAAAGGTATTTGATACTAATAGATAATCATACTTTGTAGTGTTGAAACACTAATAATGCTGATTTTAGGAGCTTAATTTCAATTAAAGCTACATAGTATAATTTCTGCAAATAAACTGCAGTTATCTATTTTACTTTATCAAATACTTATATACTTTCAAAAACAAGAAACCCAAACTATTTTTTTTAATAAAACAGATAACTGAGAAGTATAATTTTTATCTATTCTTGATCTTCAAACTAAAAAGCATGAATATATTCTCTGAATATATATAATAAAATATAATAATACAGTAAAATTAAGTAATTGGCATCCTTCCTACTTGGAGACAGGTAGTTGTTTATAGCAAAATTAATTTAAAAAATTGAACATATACTGCATAAATATTTCATTATTTCCACTTTAATAACCCCCATTCCTCATATAACATTCTGAGCAGGCTGCATCATCTTGCTTTATTCTTTACTAAATTTACTAATTACTTAACTCAATGTTCCAATTAACAGAAAGCGAAGTAAACCACAGGGAAGCAAATTTTCTTCAATGTGATAACTTGACACTAATATTTATTTAAAACCATTACACTCTTCAGGATATAACTGTAGATTTTAAAGCATCAGTTAAATTACTGTTACAGTATAAATTTTAAACTGATTATGTTTATCAAATAATTGTCTTTTGAAAAAATTCCATATCCAATGTATATCGCACTAAGACTGAGATGGGTGAATTTGGATAATAATCATCTAATTTTTAAACATTCCAAGAATAAAGTATTTCATTCATAGGCCTTTGTAGTAAAAAACATTTCAGGAAGAAGAAGCAGACACTAATTTTTGATGGAAAGCAATCTAAATACTTTATATAGGTCAGGGTTTCCAACCCTTGGGCCCTGGCCTGGTACTGGGCTGAGGCCTATTTGGAACCAGGTTGTGGCTCGCGAGTACTTGTGCACGGGTGTAAAAACTCCGTCACACAAATGGAGCTTCATCTGTGTGTGCACACAAGCACCTGCCCCTTGCACAAATGGAGCTGTGCATGCATGTATTAGCCCGCCCTTCACACAGAACTATTTCTCCTTCCACTCTATCGGTCTGCAAAACTGGAAAGGTTGGGGACCACTGATATGAGTAGTCCTCAGGTTATAATGGCAACTGGGATGGGAATTACCATTAATTAGCAATGAAGTCATAAAATGTGATGTCACATGACTGCATCACTTAGAGATGACAATCCTGGCCATTAGCAGAGGAGCTCCAAGTCCTGAAAATCTAGAAATAAGGGGTGTCACAGCCATAAATTTCTTGTTTGGTTTTTAGTAAAAACACTGTACATATATTCCATTTTGGGGGACTAGTGCTGTAATTTCATTTATTTACTTAATACCTTCTCTCTTGGTGATTGTCTGGACAAGTCCCTGTAGTTTTCTTGGCAATACTTTAGAAACAGTTTGCCACTGCCTGCTTCCTAGGGCTCAAAGATGGGCCAAGGTCACCTAATAGGCTTTGAAGGTAAAGTGTGATTAGAATTCCCAGTTTCCAGATTTCTAGCCTGGTGCCTTAAACACTGTAACAAACTGGCTCTCTGATAATTTCGGTTATACGTGCAGTATTGATGCAAGATTGATTGATAGAAATTAAATACATATTTTAGAATAAATTAAATACATATTTTAAATAACCTAGAAGCAATGTTACATAATTATTTGAATGATGCACAGCAATGTCAAATTAATCTGGTATACTGTTGGTACATTTGGTACGTTTGTTGTCAGTTTTAATCAATATGCAAAGTTTTTAAGTTTTTATTTTTTTAAAAAAAATATTGCCTCAGAGAATGATTCAGAGAAATATATGCATTTAATATTGGAAGTATTAGTCTTAAAAAACTCTACTTAAATCAATTGCAGACATACAAGGGCAGATTTGAAGATAGAGCAATTTGTTCACAAAGAGGATTCTAACAACACTGAACCTGCTTCTATATGTAGTCCTTAGTTAATGGCGATTTGTTCAGCAACTTTTCAGTGACTATTTAAAGTTATCACAGGGCTGAACAAGATCTATAGTTAGTCCTCAAAATTACAGCCATTGCAACAGTCACACAGAGATGTGATTGCAATTCAGATGCTTGGCAACCAGCTTTCAATTAGAATTGTTAGTGTCCCATGATCATCATTTGCAACCTTCCCTGTCAGCTTCCAATAAGCAAAGTCAATGGGTAAGCTGGCAAGAAATTACAAATGGTGATTATGTAAAACTTGTGCCTAATATCCATGTGGGACTTTGCCTAAGGATTGGAACTGCCAGGACAGCCATCATCATGTGTTTTTTACAATTGAGTTGTTTAGTGATGGAATTCCAAAATCCAATTACTGTCATTAACAGGAGACTGCCTGTACTATTATATAAAAGAGATACTATAATTCAATGAAACTTGAGTCTAGATACCACTTTTATAACCCCCCCCCCTCTCTCTCTCTCTCTCACACACACACACTTTTTTCTAAAAGCTAATCTTGTCAGAAAGTTTTTCTTCAACAGAAGAATGTTGTGGGGGGGAATGGAAGAAAGGAACATTATGTAAGGGAGGGAGGAAGGAATCCAATAATTAATAAAAACATTATAAACTACAGAGATATCATATTGTTCTAATTGACCCCAAGAGTTCAGTCCTCAAACAATTCAACTATCTTCCTGCAGTTGTGTTTCCAAATTGATACTTTTGCTACGCTTCTAAGCTTAGAAATATTTTTATTTGTAGCCACAGATTTATTTTGCTTTAACTTTTTTACTTTTTACCAATATTCCAATACTGTTTTATTGCTTTGTGTACAAACAGTATTCCACTGTTATTTTATTATATTGTATTTTATGGTATGTTTTATATTTTATGACCTGTGATTACAATTAAACTTATTTACTGTACTTACTACTTGTTTAGTGTTAGGAGGATTCTGGTTACTTTGGGAAAAAACTGTTAAGTCAAGAATTCAATAATCAATAAAGGAAAGGACAATTATGTACAATCTCAAAACTTAACTGATATAGAGGTTAAATTGCAATCAAATATCTATGCACATTACTGCTATGATGATGGTAATTCAGCATCACAGCTATAAAACCTGCTGAAAATATTATAGAAAGTATTCTTAAAGTTAAAATATGATAAGGGTAGATAGCTATCTCTTACCTTACATTTAGAAAAGTTGTAAGTTATTCCCAAATATTCTATGAATCAAATATCAAGATTTTTCAGTCCACAGATGGTAGCATTTTATATTTAAACTGAATTTGGCAGTGCTGAATGTATTCATTGTTTTGGCTGATTAAGTTTCATTCTATTTTTATTTGTGTATTGCACAGTAAGAATCATGGATTATGAGATATAAAATGCAGTTAACTGATTTGTACAGACTACTCAATGGATTTTCCAAATGAGCTTTGGCTTTGATACTTACCATTTTTTAAACATAAATAGTTAAGGTGTTTTGAAGAAAGATGTACTTACCAATACACACATCTATCTTGCCTTTGATTGCAGCTTCATGTAGAGGGGTATAGTTCCAGTTGTCTCTGGCATTTGGTTCTGCTCCTTGACACAGCAAAAGGCTAACTACCTCAGCATGACCAAAGGAGCAGGCATTGTGAAGAGGTATCAGTCCACCATCATCACGAGCATGGACATTAGCTCCTGTTTGTAACAAGTGTTCCACAACATCCTTTCTTCCAAAACCTAATGAAAAGAAGTTGAATTAATGCAATATAGAATGCATAAATATTACCACTGTATATGGCACTCAGGAGTATAACTCTCTAAAATAAATTTTACTGCATTTATAATTTACTCCATTGCAAATATACTGCAAATAGTATAGCTCTATTTTGCTTTGTTGGTTTTTAAAAAGTTTAGAAATGCCAATCAAAAAATATTTTTACCTCTTTTTTGCTAACAGCAAACAGTGTTAAAATATAGAAGATAATCTAATTTACTTTACTGGCCTGTTACTTTAATTCAGATCAGAAACTTTCTAGAGTTGTTATTTAAAAATAGCTACATATCAAAGTGCACATCTACAGTAATAACATCCAAACAACTAATAAACAGATTTAAATCTACTTGCTGTGTATCATTGTGTACATCAGAATTCAATTCCTTCAATCAAAATTTCAATAGCAACAATATTAATATTTACATAACACTCAAGCAAGATTATAGGGCAGAGTTGCACAACCCCAAAGAGCCCCTGAAAGTCTTGCATATCCAACTCCAGAAACCTTAAAAACTATTACCAAACTACAGTTTTTATATGATAGAAGGGGGAAATGCCTAAATACTTTATTAGAATAATTATATTATCTACATTTATCTTAATTAAATCTAATTACTTTAAATTAGCTTTGTCCTGGCTTCTCCCACTAGTTTTTGAAGTGTATCCCTGATTCTATTTATAGGCTTAGAAGAGTTGCACATCCAATTCAATTAACTCTGTCATCCTTACTTTATATTTTTTTAAAAATCAATTCATTCCCTTGGATTTTGGACAGTTTCCTTAAAGCTCCCTGACTGACCAGAAAAAAATCTTCCATGGGGATGTAAGAAGGGAATAATACACTTCATTCAGGGAAGGAGTGCAAAACTTTTACTGTCAAATTCTTTGCGCAAATTTTTTTTAAAATTTTAGTTAAGTTTCAGCTGTTTGACCATGACTGTTAATTCCTATGAATACCTTATTAGCAGGAAGACAAGTATAAACTGAAATAAAATAAATATTTGTGTATATTTAAGTGTCTCATCAGAAATTGTTTCACTGAAATATTAAAGCAACTTTTTAAAAAGTTGTCACAGAAGATATTTTTGACATTTGATCAATTAGAAGTGGTTGGATCTTATGCGACTTAAGACTGTGGCAAGTACCGTGTTTCTCCAACAATAAGGCCTCCACCGATAGGAAGGCCCAGCATGTTTTACTGCCATAAAATTAAGTTGAGCCCCTCCCCCCAAAATTAAGGCCTATATTAAACATGCAAAATGGGGGGGAATTGCGAGGGAGTGGCTTGCCATTAGGAAGTACTTTTGTTGCATCCCCGGATATGGTGCTGCCTGCATTGATGGGGCACTTCGTATCGGGAGACCTTCCGTCACCATTGCTTTACCTCTCCCCGTGCTGCTGCAGCGTTTAGAGCAACGCCGTGGCGTTTGGCGCAGCCATGCGCGGCCAGCCAGGGCTCCTCCCTGTAACCGGAGTCCCGCAGAGACACTCTTCTTCGGGCGCTCCTGTCGCCGCCTTCCCTTTGCCTTCGAAGGTAAAGCCAATTCTTTTAAAAACAACACCCTACTACAATAAAGCCTCCCCTGCCCAAGAGGGCAGCCCAACCCCATGTGGGGAGGCGAATCTCCCGGGGCCGCAGCGCAGGATTGGCCCACCCCAAGAGAAGCACCCAGCCGCCATCCCTGGCTGGCACTGGGCAGAGCGCGAAGAGTTTCTCCTGGGGCACCCAGCGTAGCTGACAGGCGGGCCCTCCTGCCCGGAGGCAGAGCTCTCGCCAAGGTAGCGAGCGCTTACCCACCGGGCCCTCCGCTCATCCCACTAGGGCTGCACTGGAGCCGTGTGGGCTGGACAGAGCTGGGAAAGCGAGCCGCGGATGTGCGCCCGCCTGCCAAGCGAAAGAACCAGGCTGACCCAAGCTTGGCTTCCTTCCCAAGTCCCTCCAGCTCAAACCTGAAGGGGCCACCGGGAGAGGCCGCCCGAGACAGTGATAGCAGCCACCCACCCGTGGACAGGGAGGCAAGGTGACGGCCTGTGCTGCGTCCTCCTCTGAGCTGAGCCCTGCCAGGTCAGCGCCTCTGCCTGATGCCCATTCCGCTGCAGCATTTGGAGCTGCCGGCACATTTGGAGATGCGTGGGGACAGGGACGGGCTGGGCGAGGGGTGGAAAGGACGGGCGGCTTCGGGCTCTCTCCGCTGGCCAGGGAAGCAGTGCTGCCATAACCTCGCCTCCTTGTCTATGGATGAGTGGGTGCTATCACTACCTCGGGAAGCCTCTCCCAGTGGCCCCTTCAGGTTCGCGCTGGAGGGTCTTGGGAAGGAAGCTAAGCTCAGGTTGGCCTGGCTCTTTCGTTTGGCAGGCGGGCGCGCACCCACGGCTCGCTTTCCTGGCTCTGCCCAGCCCGCACGGCTCTGGCACGGCCCTAGTGGGATGAGTGGAGGGTCCGGCGGGGAGGCACTTGCTGCCTTGGTGAGAACTCTGCTGCCGGGAAGGAGGGCCCGCCTGTCAGCTGCGCTGAGCGCCCCAGCCAAAGCTCTTCACGCTCTGCCTGGCGCCAGGCAGGGATGGCGGCTGGGCGCTTCTCCCGAGGTGGGCCGATCCTGCGCTGTGGCCCCAGGAGATTCGCCTCCCCATGTGGGGTTGAGCTGCCCTCTCAGGCCGAGGAGGGTTTGTTGTAGTAGGGCGTCGTTTTTAAAAGAATTGGCTTTACCCTTGAAGGCAAAGGGAAGGCGGTGACAGGAGCGCCTGAAGCCGACTGTCTCCGCCGGACTCCAGTTGCAGGGAGGAGCCCTGGCTGGCCGCACATGGCTGCGCCAAACGCCGCGCTGTTGCTCTAAACGCCACGGCAGGAAGGGAGAAGGGAAAGCAACAGTGGCAGAAGGTCTCCTGATACGAAGTGCCCCACCAATGCCGAGGTCAACATCCAAGCTGTCACTGCCCGCCCACCCAAGGTTGCAGGGGGAAGAATTAAGTCACCCCAAAAAGACGGCCTAGCCGTTTTTTCGGGGGTCAAAAAAAAATAAGGCCCGGCCTTATTTTGTGAGAAACACGGTAGCAAAATGGATTATTTGGAAAAACTGATAAAATGTGCATATATATCTTATTCTGATTTAGAAACAAGTAACAGTGTACCATGGAGTAAAGTATACATACAAAAATGAACAGAAATGTTATAACCACAAGTTGACTCAAAACCAATTTTCCAAATTCTACTTTTACTCCAATTTAGAATGAGTGCAAAAAAAATTTGATTTGTTTTGAATGTTAAAAGTTACATTTTCTGTGCTTCATGAATGTTTGGGTTTTCTAATCACTTATGTAAATTAAAATAATATCAAATGATTGTTTCCCTGACCAATTTCTGGTTTATTTTATTCCCTCAGCTACTTATTCCTACATCTCTATAGATTAAAAGTTCTGATATTATGGATTAGAATTACAGTGTAATCCTAAAACAAACTGTGTTCCACACCATTTTACTCATCAAAGTCAAAAACACATTTTAACTGCTTGGTATTATGAGTCTAACCTAAGTCATGTCACTCCGGAATCTAATATTATTTATTCCCCTAAAGTAACTTTTAATGGCACCCCTGATTAATGTTAAGAAAACAATTCGCACACCAATGCCCTATTACCGAACCTATTTGACACAGATTGGGTGGAATTTCACACAGATTACTGCAGGTATGGCCTAATCAATATTACATATAAACTGAGAGCATCATCTCCAATGCATTTACTATGTGTTTATGCCTTCAAGCTAGTTTTTGATTCCTAATGACTGTCTGGATAAGTACGTTCCTGCCATTTTCTCAGAAAGGTGTTTTGGAACTGGTCTGTCATTGACTTCTTCCTAGAACTGGAGGAAAGTGATTTTTCCAAGATTACCCAGCTGGCTTTGTGCCTAAGGCAGCACTAATTCAGTCTCCTAGTTTTTATCCTGACAATCACTACATCAAACTTTCCCTCTTAATGTATCTATGCACCCCTATATATTCAGGATAACCTATCAGGGCAAACTACACTACATTACTGGAACAAATATTAGAAACTCCATAAGGTTTTTCTTTAAAATCAGAAATATTTAGATAAGAAGAAGAGAGATGATGGGAGTAATTTGAAATAGCTTTACCTCATTTTATCTTATGCATCTCAGAAAAGTTGCACAATTTTTTAAAAAGTTGTGGAGTTTTACTTATAAAGGGAGAACAGTTGGTTTTGGATAGTCTGCATTCAAGCATAAACATGTGTTTTCCATATTGTTGGCCCAAACAGAGAAATAAATGGGAGATTTTTTTTCAGTTATGTACCAATTCCAAATGTGGTTGTGGAAATAACACTAAATTTGTTTCATACGGACCAACATGTCTTCCCAAGAGAATACTGGAAATAGCAGTTTGGGGGAGGGGGGGGAGTCTATTTGATTTAAGCTTGTGATTTATCCTTTAAGTCCCTCTTTTGGAAACTTTAAAACATTTGCTGCAATTATAAACAGTGCTTCTGAAAAGAAAAAAACATTATTTCTGTGCATATTGTTTCTCACATTTTATACAACAAAATTAAAAATGCCAGTTATGTAATCAACCAGTCTTTGAGCTAGCTTTTCAAATCAACCATTCAATTCCATAAATAATTGTTTAAGTAAAATTATTCTAAGAATCACACTTTCAAGTTTTTTTTTATGCTTTCCCACTATTGTTGCCATTTTTTTCTTGGAATGTGAAATCGCAAACAAACTTCTGTTACTTCATACTACATAGATCACTCAATGGAATAATTTAATATGCAATTGATTTAGCAAGTCTAGTCCATGAAACTCTATACCACATGGTCTTGAGACACAGTATAAAAATTTCTGACAATGCATCTTCTGCATAATTATAAGTTCACATTACTGGACATTTTATGAAAGCCATAAGCTGAAAACCACAATGTGAGGAGAGAGCCTTAGAAACAACTATTACTAAACTGGGATTAAGATCCTAAAATGCTCTACATCCTTTGTTCTTTAAATGAGTCCTGTGGTAAGGGATACAGGACCCTCCACCTCTCCAGGAATGATTCCAAGTTATATAGAGCAGGTCGCCAACCTTTTGGACCTCAGGGACCACCAAACTCATAATTTTAAATCCTGCAGACCACTAATATGAATTCTGACTGATGGTGGCTTGTTGACTTTGGTAGGAAAGTCGGTCCCATATTCCAGAGCTGTAGTAGTCACAGGACTGGCCCTTTAGCTGCTCCTCCACCTGAGTGCACCAGCCTGCCATGGACTGGAGGAGCTGTTGGTCTTACCTTCCAGTTCCAGCTTGTGTGGCTGTATTCAAGGTAAGGTTTGCACTCGGCAGAGGGGTGGGGGGCAGGGGGGGGGCGGGCCACGTGGGCGGCACAGCCTTGTGGTTCCCACACAGCCTGGATTAACTGCTTTGGGGTGAGTGCTCTGGGGGGCACATTTCTCTGAGGATCACCAAAATTTTCTCGCGGACCACCAGTGATTCCCCGGCCCACCGGTTGGTGACCACTGATATAGAGAATCCTTTTCCAAGAACTTCTTATTCTCATCCTTAGGAACTATACATTTCCTCATCAAGGGATCCATAGAGAATGGGCATTCTCCAGGCAGCCCTTCTGAGCCAAACCCTCCTACTTTTCTGGGTTCATTCACCATATTAATACAATGGCTGGATTCACATCGTAGACTAAGCTGAAATCCAACCAATTAACCATTTTATGGTTTAATACAACACGGAAGCCTACTTTGCTGTTACAGCACGATCTTTCCCACTGCATTGCTAAGAAAGCCAAGGGCAGGGACAGCAGTTGCTCCCTCAATACATATTGTTTCACCTCTTCCCCAGCTTATTTGTTTCTCTCTTTCCTGAGCCCTCAGAAAGAATGAAAAGGAGAGCAGAAGAAGGCAGGCCCAACCTCCTACATTCTTCACTGGCCTTCTTCACAAGAGCCAGTCTGAGCAGGGCAAACCCTCCTTTATCCTCAGCAGCTCAGACAAGAGCAGAGAGGATGGTTCCCACAGCCGGAACCTGTCACTTTGCTGCCCCCTGTGCAAGGCTCTTCCTTGCCCCAGGCAGGTGATGGAAAGCCTGGAGCCAATTATGGCTTACTACCACCTCCTTCAGGGAGGGAGTTGGGGCCACTCGCCCTAGAGGCCTTGCACGGTGAGCGGCTGTTTCTTCGCCTCAGCCATGGCAAAGCATCGCAACCAAAGGGCTGGCCCGGCGCTACACTTTTGAGCACACACCCCCCGCCCCCCCCCCCCGACTCTCACCTGCCGCGAAGTGCAAAGGGGTAGATTTCCGCCCGGCCATATCTTTGGCGTTGACGTTGGTAGCATCCACCAGGCGCCTGACCCGGGTTACGTCCCCATTGCGGCAGGCCTCGAGCAGCTCCCGAAAAGCGCCGCTTCCCACGGGCGGAGGAAGAGGCTGCAACGGCGGAGGGGGTGGGTCGGGGCTGTCGGGAGCAGCCGGGCTGGAGGCAGCAGAAGAGGAAGACGAAGACCCGGAGCTGCTGCTGCTGCTGCTAGTGGCGGCGCTGCTGGCCCCGGAGCCCGGCGGCGGCGGAGGCCCGGAGCTTTCGCAGGCGCTCTCTGGAGAAAAAGGCCTCTCCGTTCCCGCCGTCCCTTCCCGGCCGCTGTTGACGGGGGCCTCGCCCTCGAGTCCGGCCAGAATGGGCCGCTGCTGAGGGGAAGCTCCGGTGGGAGAAAGATTGGGGCTGCGGGGCGGAGATACGGGCGTCTGGACCGAGTGATGACTTGGAGGATGAGCGGGGTGATGGTGATGATGCTGCTGCGAGCGACGCGACGACGATGATGCCGCCGCCATTTCCCCGCTCCGAGAGCGCTCTGGTCCTGTCACTGCGGCAACGGGGAAGGATTGCCCGCCCTCGCATCCGGCTCCGTGGAGCCAATCGTGGGACGGCGGGGGGGAAGTGACGTAAAGGCAGTGAGATGACGGAAGACGAAAGCAGAACTCTTTCCCCAGAGCGTCGGGTGTTTGCTGGCTTAGGAGCGTATTGTTTACATTGCTATGCTTTCATGGAGTCCTCGGGGGTTCCAACCTTAGCAACTTGAAAACTTGTGGACTTCAACTCCCAGAATTCCTCAGCTAAAGGTTGCTAAGGTTGGAGACCCCTGCACAAGACAATAGTTTGCCCCTGCTTTTTTCTGGGTTCCCCCCCGGGTCATAATTTTAATTTCGTGTGATTAACAAGATGTTACCCAGCATACAGTGGCGTTTGTTTTGTAAACTCTTTTGAATTTTTAATATTTCTGCATAAACATGAACTGAAAACGAGAACAATTCTCCGCCCAAGTCCTAAAACTAGGTTTTTTAAAAAACCAGTTGAACAAAGGAGTTCAAAACACTAGTTTATTGGTTTATTGAGGAAAATAAATTCATTTAAAATATGTTTAAAGAATCCATTCGCAGGTCTGCAGAAAAGGCGTTTTGTTTGCCTTTTTGGTTCTGCAATAAAACCTCGAAGTCTGCTTACAATAAGTGCTACAATGAAACCCGACATCTTATAAAACTGAGGCATTCACAATAGATTCAGTATCCGGGCAGAAAGTCTTAACACTGACTCAAAAGAGGCTAGGGAAGAAAACCGTTTGAATTTTTTTTGTCTGGAAAAACACCTTAAATGTCTTTCAGACTGCGGGGCTTATAATGTTTAGTAGTGGTTACTCCCAAGTAAATGGAAGAGACCTTGTTAGGCTAGTAAGTTACTGAAATAACCACCAGGTGGCAATCTTAATGCATTTTTGAAATAAGGTTATATTCTGAATCTTTTCTACTATTAAATATTACTTGTAAGATTTAGAAACATATTTTAAAAACCCGCAGAATTAGAACAAAAGCCCATTTAATCCAGCATACTTTGTTCTTCTCTGACTAACCAAATAAATTCAGGAAATTCACACATAAGGGCAAGAGGATGATACCTCTTTTTCTTCTGTGGCTGCCTTACAATTGTTTTTCTAGCGTGCTTCTTGTTATTCAGATAAAGTTTAAGTTGAGCTTGGTTCATAGTTATTGCATGCATACATCCATGAAGTTTTCTTGGCAATAGTACCCAAGTTATTTATCGTTGCCTTCTGAGATAATTTTCAATTTCTCAGATCATCCTATGACCAAGGTTATACTAGTACTAGTAACTGAGTTGTTAAATTGTTTCATTAAATTAATTTTCCAAATTAACTTTCTCAATCTATTTGCAACCCACCCACCCCCACCCTGGTTCTTTGAGACTAACATTTGAATTAAATCAACACAATTTTCTAAATTGAATTAATTCAAATTGGATCAGATATGTTTCACATCATCTCTCTACTATTAGTTAAAGTACCATAATTCCTACTTTTCCCGTTTTGGTTTGAGCCCGAAAAAGAATTTTAGCTGCTCTATGAGTTGCTCTTAAGTTTAATGAATGCACTTTTTTGGCAGTCTTGGCCTTTTTCTCAGTCTTAGACAAAAGCTCCAAAAAAGATCATAAAAAGTGATCAAACTGAGCCGAAACATTTCCTCCAAATCTTTCTGGAAATGCACACAGCCCTGTTAGCTGCATGAGCCTGTAAGAAATAGAAGTAGACATAGAAAGAAACAATAGAAATATACCATTGTGGTAAATGTAGTCTGGATTCCCAGGGTAGAAGAGTTGCATTCCAGAAGGCAAAAAGACTTCTGAGTTTTGAAAGTTTGAGGGACAGGAAGATGGCTCCTCTCCAGCAATTCCCATCTACAGTAATGGGTGCAAATGTGTTAAGGAGTGGTTCAACCAAGAAGTAAAGAAAATTTTCTGACAATGAGAACAATCCTGGAGTAGTGAGTGCATTATCACTGGAGGTTTTCAAAAATAGACATGACATAACTCAATCTTCAGGCATAAATTGAGGTAAGGGACACCAGAGGGACTGACAGCTTTATTGGTGAACTCACAACTTCAATAGGAAAGTATTTTTTCAGAAGAACACAGGCCCAACCTACCCACTAGTGATTCTGCCTAGTGATTTGGAAGGAAACTTGCAAGTACACTAAAGAAGACCGAAACATTTGCATCTATCAGATAAAATTTTATGTTTAATTGTCGTAATCAGGCATCAGCCTTTTTTTAACAACAAAGAATCAGGTGAACAGTTTCTTATTATATATACATTTATTCAAAAATATACTAAGAGTATATTAAAATAATTTGTTGGGCAATAAATTATTTTGTTGGTGAAATATGAAAGTAAACCTTCTTTTAATTACAACATTTCCAAAGTAATTATTATTAAAGATCTTAAAATCACTACTGTTAATATATTGGGTTTTGGAAAGTTCCAGGGGTGGATGGGAAGCGGCTCCTTGGGATGATGGTGATTCATCTCCGTTCCTGAAACAGAATAACAAAACAGAATAATCAAGTTCATAACCCCCTGCTTATGAACAAGTTCCCAGCGTCTGCCTGCTTGCCTGCTGTGTTAAATAGCCGGCTTCTGGTGCGGCCCATCAACAAGGGTGAGGCTGCCTCCTTGCAAGTAATCGGGATGACCTTCATTGCTCCTGCCTTTTCCCTGCCCAATCTGTTCTCAGATGAGGTGCAGAAGGCAGTTCCTCCTCAACGTTGAACCTCTGCCGCTGAGTTCTTTGCCCACTTGAAGCCTCGGGGCTACCCTGCTGCAGCTGTTCTTCAGCCAAATGACTCTCAGCCAGCTGCCTGGAGACATTGACCAACTCACCTCCTGAGGTGTCTGGGACTTTTTCCACCCTCCCACAAGTTGGCATCTGGAGAGGTGTCAGAGAAAGCATCTGGAAAAGGCTATTATTAGTACCACACGCTTTCTGTAAAAGCTCAAACACTTTGCTCTTTCTGGAGTTGCTTGTAATTACCCTCTGCCCTTCCCAGGTAGCATATTGGGCAACTTCTGATCTGAGAGGGTCATTTACTGGCATCATAGCTTTTAGCCTTGTGAAACCTTTCATAGAGTTTTCTTAATAAGGATACTGGAGAGCTTTGCCACTTCCTTCTCCAGTGGGCCACCTTGTATCAGCACCTTCCATGCTGACCTGCCTGCCTTGGATGGCCCTGCCCGGCATAGCTCATCGCTTCATTGAGCTGCAAAAGACTCTTTGACAGGACAAGGCAGTGCTCCATGAAGAATCTGAAATGGATACCCTTTTAAATTAAAGAAAGCATTCCAGGTCCAGGGAGTCTTCCTCGAGGCTGCTAAGGTCCGCAAGTCTGGCTCCCGATTCATCCGGAGAATCCTATGAATGACAGTGATTCCTTTGTAGCCATGAGGGCAAAAGAGACCTAGAATTCCCCAAAAGAGGGACTATTGAATGGGGATGAAAAAATAGGCTTTCTATGCTTTGCCTGTTAAATCCCTGCCCGGAAGCGGCCGGATGCTGGAAAGGTGCTGGAAAGGATGGACGCGGAGAAAGGAAAGGCATAAGCCAGGTGGGCCACATCCATTTAGCATACCAGTGGGCCCTTCCCTGCTGCTTTGCAGTGAATGAACCAATTGCACCAGAGCTTTGGGTGCATATAGTTTGCCTAAGTACGTTGTCCCAAGGGCCAGGTGGGGTCACCTTGCTCCAGCACCCACGGCACTCCAGCACAGTTCACTCCAGTTAGGAGAACTGAATAGAAGACCACCATCCCTTCCCAAGAGAAAAAAGTTTGTCTTTCTTACTCACGGACTGGAAGGCTCGCTAGCATCGGAAGCCACTGCAGCCTCCTCCCAGCCTCCCTCTGACACCTCGTCTAAAAGCATGTCCGGAGAGTCCAAGTCCTCTAGGCTGCTCCTGCTATTCGATCCGATCAGGACGTTCATCGAATCCAGCAAATGAGAGCATCAGGGCTAAAGCCAAAGCTCTCTGCATCTCAACAGGATGGCTAATAGGCTGCATTCAGCCCCTACGTGCCAAGAGAAAGACGGCCTTTGGAAGCCTTATGCCGAGGAGGACGTATCACACAATTTCCCCCTCCCCCACCAGGACTTGTGGCATAGCCTCCATCGGCCCCATTGCCAAAACGTTCTTACCTTGGAGGACGCTTTCTCCCCACAGAGAGAGGGGAAGGGCTCCTGTTCCACGACTTCCGATGTGTAAGCCCTGTCCAGAGGAAGAAGGCGAAATGTTTAGGAATCAAGCTGGCTCAGCTTCCCCTTTCTCTGTCTATCTTTATTTCCCTTCTGTGAACCAGCAGGGGTCTTCTCCCTCCTAGGTGCTACCTACCTGGATGGAGACGGGCTCTCTGCATCTGTCCAGCTGTCCAAAGGGACGGATTCTTCCAATGGATCCTGAAATAACAGTACAAAGTGTCTGTTGGCATATCAACAAATTCACAGCGACAGAGCTTCTGCGATTAGCATGAGGAGGGGTGGGTCAGGCCTCACCAATTCAGCAGAGCTCTCCATAATGGTGGAGAGGCTTGGCATCCACTTCTCCACCTTGACATCTCTGGGGAGAGAATTAGGGGCCAATTAAAACTAGCCAGGAGCCCCTTTTAAGAGTGAACACGTGGAGGATCTGAGCGACCTGCCAGCTGGCCTGCCAATGGGATCGCCCTGCGTCGTTTTTCCTTTAGCAAAAGCAAAAATAGAGGGTAGAGATGCCTCCCCTCTGCAAACCCTTTTTCTAGCCTTTCTGTTTAGGGCTTTAGTGCAGCCACCTTCAGAATCCCTCAGCTCAGAATACGTACCTCCACAAATTTTGGATGCATGTCACATCTTCCAATCTTGGGTTCCTGGTGGTAACACCCATCCAAACCTGAAAGTAATAATTGCTCATTTGAATGTAAAAATCAAAGTTCTCTGCCAGATCTCTCCACGAATCGAAGGGGCTCTCCTTGAGTTTACTAGGGTGGCCAGGTTCCCCAAGT